CTCAGCTTCTTTATGGTCGCACTTCTTTTTGATGCGAACTTCTTATCATGAAATTAGATACCAAGTACTCGCATTTTGAAATGTTTTGCGGATTTTATCAACACTTTTTTCACTTTTCTGCGAACTGGACTGATGTTTGCTTAGCTTTCCTAATATCCAGCTACTATTGCTAGATTACAACACCTGCAGCAGAAGACCGCTCCACGTTTGATTGTGTTCTGTTGCTTCTATAAAAAATACTTTTTACCGGAACGCTTATTGCGGTCTGAAAATTCCGATCGCAGCACCTCACTTTTCACGTGCATAGTTTTTTTCTCCTTCCATCCCAATACGCCACAGCAAACCCACATAACGCTCATTAAAACCTCTACGTTGCGTGTCTTAAGAATTCCAATAGCAAAAGCAAGTGTATTTCAAAAGTTTTTATTGATGGTTTGCAAAATCGACGTTTTCGGTTGGTCCGAAAAACCCATAAGGAGTCGTTCACACTCTGCTGTGATATTTAGCAAAGAGCAATTCATGTTTTATTTTTATAAGAAGCATGTTTTCAGTGTTAGACAGCGAAGGCTGACAGTTACAGACAGCAGCTGGAGCCGAGGAACCGCACAAAAGGCAGTTACTAATTTATGCTTTGGAATGTCAATTTGAAACTCGTTTTTTATGCGTTTTTAACTGTGCAGCGCTGTAATGTTGTTACAGTGACCAAAAATACATATTGTCGAGAGGTCGTCCATGTGTGTGTGTGTGTGTTCGGAAGCGAGTGAACTTTGTCACCCACTTTCAAATCAGCAACAAGGAAAACTGGAAGGCTGAAATTTTGGGAGACATATTCTCGCCTTGTATATCACCCTCCCATTTTAAAGTCATCGCTCATACGCGACTAAATCTCGCGTACAGATATTCTTCCAAGGAAATGTTCAAATTTCTTTAGCGAGAAACGATTTTAGGAACCAGACGAGACAGAAAGGGGTGAAACTTTTCAGGAATTTTTTGTGTTCTTGTGTGAGCTAAATATTTCAAATTCGGCCACTACAACACGCTTATGCAGCGCGTTTAGTCACATCAAAGTTAGCACTTGGCACTGTGTTAACTCGAAAGCTGGCTGGAAAGCAGTGGCTGAAATTTTGTCAGAATATTTGTCGTCTGTAGAAGAAATCGTATACCTAAATTAAGTTCCGATTTGCATTTGCGCTACGACTTAGGGCATTTCAAAGGTATATGTAGCGAAGCGGCTATTTCGTTTATCGGATAAGATGCAAGGCTGAAACTTCATTAGAATATTCTATTTTCATGTGGAGGTGGAATTCCCTTTAAATGGTCATGAGAAATACTCAGTTTTATCGCAAACTTAGAAGCGAGTGCATTTTGCAGATTTCATAATCCGCTTCCAACTTCCTTCAAATTTTCATTTTTTCAGTGAACGAGCATTTATCAGGAAAACGACCAGATGTCATGCAAAAAACTGATAATCACATACGCTGGAAGTCACTGTGGCTCTATAATGCAACAAGCCGACGCCCTTTCCTTCTGCATGCGGAAAGAGATCGAAGCAGAACCAATATTAGTCTAAATGTTAAACTACAGCCTAGGGACTATTGCTGCTAGCGATCTGCAAGTTTAGCGCAAAAACGTATGATCGCACCGGCAAGTCTGGGTTTTATTTTGCACATATTTTTTAGGTTGGAAATGTACCAGTTAGTCACACAATTCCGGCATTGGTTTCTTCCAAACCTGCAGTGCAGAACTTGGAACGTCGCAAGCTTTCACTGACGAACACTGAAGAAAATGCGTTAGGAAGCATACAGTCAACTCAAAACTATTGCGATAAAGAGAAGAAAGCTGTATTGATCATCCAGGTATTCGAGTGCCCCTCTTTTTATGTCTGTAATATTTTTTTTCCGCCCTAAGTGAGGTGCAGAATCGGTTTTTTTGTAGTACCACATGCTCCGTTTTGTCCCTGTTACCCGGCTTTAAGGTTTTTTTAATAAACAGCCTTTGTTCAGCTTTTGCAGCTGCTCATCTCACCGCATGATCTATGTATTTTCATAGACTGA